CAGAAGGATTCGTTGGAGGTGGAAAAGGTCGTGCTTGATTGATCAGGCTCCGAAGTCCAACATATATTGAATGGTCTTTCAGCGATTCGGATTGTTTCGTTGTGTGGTCTCCARTCTATGTGTCTTGACACTCATGATGGAAGAGAAGGTGCGAGGACTGAGCCCTGAGGAGTGTAGAAGTTGAACATAGGGAATGTGGCAGTGATAATTAGGAGGAGCTGGTTTTGGTGCTTGAAAGCTAGCAAAGATCCAAAATGGCATGAGAACTTTGGAGATTGTGGAGTGTCTGAATACTGAGGTGAGTTTGAATTTATCTATTTCCTTAAAGGCTTTGAAAGATGTCATCAAGGATAGAGAGTATTAGGGTTCTAGAGTTGAGGATGAGGTAGGCATGGGAGACAAAGGAAAGAGAAAATGTCTTTTTGTGGAAGAAGGGAGGGAGCAGCAGCAGATGGTATATAATAGGAAAAGAGGAATTACCTTTTAAGAAGATGAAGAAGTGGGGGGAGAAAGTGGGGAAGTGARAGTGCAGGAGGTCTCGAGAGAGGAGATAAGGGAGGTAGGAGAGTTGGCCGAGGGTCTTGAAGGGGAGAAGGTTTCAAAGGGGGAAGGATCAGGGGAGAAAAGGGTGGATATTGATAAGCTAGTGGAGTGACAGGTTGAGGTGGGAAACTCTCTTGGTTTATTTTTCTTAGGAGGGGAGAAAGTGGTCAGGAGAGCAATTGAACAGTTCAAAAGGAGTAGGAGAGAAGAAAGAAAMAAGAAAAAAGTTTTAGGGGAGGRGCAGGGGCGGTGGGAGGAAGGTGAAGGGAGGGAAGAGGATCTGGTAGAAGAGGAATGAAGGGGCTGTTAGAGGTAAAAATGAGGAGGGGTGATGGAGGTTGAATCTGGAAATGTGACTGCTTGCTTGGAATGATTAAGGGTTTGAGAGTTGGAAGAAGAAAGAATTTATAATGGAGTCTGCTAAGAAAATCCAGTCCAGATAAGATGCAACTGAAAGAGATAAAGACGGAGAAATTGAGTTTGTTTCTGTTGCTGGAAGCTGCTCAAGTCAGGAAGACTTGGGGGATGATCTTTGGGAGATGGGGGGATTTCAAAGATGTAGTYTACTCAACTGGTGATGATTAGTTTTTGTTTCTGTTATTGCTGTCGTTTTTCTATGTTTGGGTGTTGCCTCAACACCCTTTCAGAATGTTTTTTTCTTTTTTCTTTTAGTGAAAATTTCTTTTTACCTATAAAAAAAAATCTTACCATGATAAGATTTATCAAGGATCTTGATTTGGTTTAAGACATTCCTCTCCTCCACAGGCCCCATAAAACAGCCAATGTTTTAAAAGCGCAAAGCACAAAAAAAGCACAAGGGGCAATTTGCGCTCGAGGTTGAGGCACAAGGGAAGGTGTGTGCCTTTTCGAAGYAAGGCACAAAAATGCCAAAAAAATTCAAAAAAATAAAAAATGTTTAAACATAATACTAATAAAAAATATAAACATAAATTTTAAAATAAATGAATTAAAAAATCTATTATCTAAAATTAAAATACATAAACATAACATGTGTAAACGAGGARATGGAGGAGTTTGTGGAGGCTACATGATGGAGGAGAGTCTTAAAGGTGGAAGCAAAAATTTTCTTGTTCAAGGAAATGAGGATTGGAGGACAAATCAGGGAAGCTAGAATGGCTACAGTTTTGTTGGTGGGGCTAGAGGTAATCAAATGGTTTGGAGACTTTGTATCGGAAGCTGGTGGCAAAGGGAAACGAGGGAGCTGGAAAGAGATACAGAGACAGGTAGAAGATATGTGGTAAAATGAAAGAGAAACAACAGAGGGTCTTTCATAGAATTCTCAGAGTTTTTTGCCAAGGGTAGAAAGCAACTGGTATGCTTTCCTCAAGGTAGAAGTAGCCAAGGCTGGCAAGAAGTTGCTAGAACTTTGAAAGACTTATTGCTCAGATTGGGAACAACTGAAATAGAAAATATGGGAAAGGAAGATGAACTCCTCAAGGTTGAAGACAGTGCTGAAACCCCCAGACAGGAAATCTCAACTTTGTCACTTACCACAAGAAAGGAAGATTGGATAAGCAAGTTGCTGATCTGCTGATTAATGAATTGAAATTACAAGATACTTCTGTTCTAACGCTTTTTGACAGGTGCAAAGCCCTGTTAGATCTTCTTGAGAACAAGGTAGAAATTGAGGCTTTGAACATGCAAGCCGCAGCTGGGTCCTTTACTATTTTCAGATGGTCTCCCTTGTCAAATGAAAAGGAATTTTCTATTGTGGATGGGGTGGTAGTACATGTCATTGGGCTACCATTTCATCTCTGGAATTATGAAGTAGCAGTTTCAATTGCAGCRCTCTGTGGAGCTTGCCTTGGAGTGTTTTGGGGTGACCTTTGTTCTGCASCTATCATACTGAGTGGAGTTAAGCCGGAGGATATACCCAGGAAAGTAGCTGTAAGAGTTGATGGAAGCTTCATGTCAGTTTGCTAGCCTCTTCCATAGAAGCTGCATTGTGGAGAGAGCTTGCAAGGAAGAAGATGAACAGGTGGATGACCAAGTATTACATGGATGCAGGGGATTGGAGGGTCAACTAAGGATTGGAAGTTTCACAAAAAAGGGTAGGCAGGGTCTGGTTGTTTCAAAAGCATCGGAGAAGTTGGAAAGTCAAAAACATAAACAGCAAGGAAAGAACCTGGAATTCGAAAGATCGTTGCCGGAGTAGTCATAGGTGGTGCCAAAGTTGTTAATTCAAATATGGTAGGTCAGGTACAAGAAGGAAAAGGGGGGTGTTATAAACCCATGGG